CAAGCTGCCCTAACCCCCCAAAACTCTAATGTGGGGGCCTTGATAACTAGCATAGGGTCTTGAGCTATATTATATTATATTATATTATATTATATTATATTATATTATATTATATTATATTATATTATATATAGATAGATATGTCTAGACAGGTGCGCAAGCGCATGCGTAGGCATACATGCGTATGCGGGCATGCATGTACATGTACACAAATGGCCCGTTTGGAAATGCCTCCATCTGCATACATGCGTATAGCATCTGTCGTCAAATACGTTTGTGTATATATATATAGAGAGAGAGAGAGAGACCCTTTGTGACGGAAGCCCTACTGTATTGACTGTATTGGGTGCAAGACATGCTGAGGTCATGGCTTTCAAACTCTAGACTCCTGTGTTGAGTGTCGTTTGCATGCATTTGTGCAAGGGTTCTGGTTGGTGTCTGGCGTGAGACATACATACCAGATGCACATACGTACATGCAGACCCATGGGTACAGTGTGATGTCGTGCAGTCAAGCTTTAGCCGGAGTCCCATCTCACATCTGATGGCATTTATCGGGGCTCTGTCGCTTCCACTCCTGCAAGATTCAAACATATGTTGGTTTGGAGGGAACCGGAAATGGAGTCTGATTTTTACGCAGGTGGCCGTCGTTGCGATGTACCGACCGCGATTTTCCCGCAACCGTGACAGAGGGCGCCACAACCACCAAGGTCTACGTGCCCAAGCTTAAGTTGGATGGATACTTGCCACTTAACAAGTACCAAGTTGCCAGTGAGATTGCGAAGCGGATCAGCCAGAAGGCAAGATCGACCCCTGTCCTCTTAAGCGAGAGATTGCCATGGAAACCAGCAATGTGGAGCTGCCTGGTGCCGTTGCGCACTCGCTTCTGTGCGACCAGAACCGTTCCTGCTGATAGCCAGTATAGTACTGTTATTGTAGCGGGTGAGTTGTATACTGCAGTGTCTGCATGGGCATGTGAGTACTGGTGTCAGAAAGTATCGTATTAGCATGCTCGTTGGTAATCAGTTCGCGATCAAAAGTCAAAAACTGTTATTCTGAGCAGTGATGTTGTTGATCATATTCTTGGCACTCGTACTGTTGTTGCCATATACACTGTTGATATAACACCATAGTTTAAGTGCCTGCTCCCTTGCATGAGTGCTTATTCTCGTGCTCATGATGGCTAATCCGGAGCTCTTAGTGCCATTGTTATGTTGCTTGTGTTTTGGTTCACGGCTGGTAGCAATTCCGTTGTATTGCCGTTCCGTTGTATTGCTGTTGACTTCTGCTTTCTTGCATCACAGTTTGCTTTGGCTGTGTCTCCGGTGTCTTCCTTAACCACGATGACTATCATGTCTACGAGGCTGCAGCAGCAGCAACAGCAGAAGCGAATCCTCGAGCGGCTAAGGCCATCTATCAGGACGCGTGGTGGGTCAGCAAGCTGGACTTGCTGCGTGGGGTGCGTGAGAACTTGACGACCGAGCCACCTGTCGCCATTCACTACCACGATGGTGAGGTGGGAGAACTTCATCCTGGTTTGGGGACGAGTGTTTTCTCCTACTTTGCATCTCACATGTAGCTACCAACATGTGGTTCTGCAGGCCCAAAGCCGCAAATTCCACCATCGCGAAGGCTTAATATACCTGTAGTCTCCATTGTAGTCCCTTTTTTTTGTTAAACCAGCTATATATTGAGGATTTTATAAGGCAGCCCCAAAAAGGAACTACAATGGAGACTATAGGTAGGACGAACTGCAGGTCCGGTCCTAATTGCAGGGTTCTACATAACGCTTCTATGTCCTTGCAGATTGCAGAGGGCTCTTCCAGAGGACCCCCATTGGCGCCAACAAACGGGTCTTAAAAGGGCAGAAGCAACGATCCTTTGATATTATACCAATATACTCCATATACTATAAAGCATACGGTATAATGGTATGAGCTATTATGTATTACAAGAGGACTAAGTTGTCTTAACCGAATGTCACCGGACGCTGGAAGAAAGCGTTGTGCAACTTGCTTTGCCTGCTTAGCTGTTCCTTTATGCAAGACCCAGACTCAATTCTGAGGGGCTTGAATTCAGACAGTCCTCGGAGAGCCATCCTTGAGAGAAGCCCGCGAGGCTTCGGCACCCGAGCCTTTCCTTGGCAGGTGGTGTGCCTCGCAGGCAAACGCGACGTTTCAGGGCTTCGCGCCTGGCGACCGGCGCGAGAGGCGCGAAGGGAAGGGTCACGCCCAGTGAAGAAATCCTGACTTGTCCAGAAGAAGAGAGACTCCATAGCTTTGGCTGATGGGTATCCGTACCTGTCGCATAACATCAAGGTCAGAAAGCTCGCTGGTGTTTGGGGGCCTGCATGCCCAACTCAGCTGACCAGTTTGCTTGAAGATGTGAGGTGCCAAGGGGCGCGGATGTCCAAGAGTGCCGAGGACAGTCCCGGCTTTTCCACTCCACGAATTGGGGTGAGGGCATGGGGCGACCCCCTGCACCTGCACGCCCACAGAATTAGTTCTGGTGTTGTGTTCAGGACTGACCCTTCGGGCTTTCGCTTGATGGGGCTTACGGTTTAGAGTGCTCACTCTTTGGGTAATGTAGGGCCTTAGTAATTACAATAGGGTTTTGGGGTTCCGTATTATAAGTATAGTTTAATATACTATACCCCAAAACCCTATTCTAATTATTAAGGCCCTTATATTATGTTTGGGCAGGCTTCAGGGTGTCAGGGCTTGGGCTGAGGGCGGAGGGTGTCACAACCCTGGGATCGAGGTCATGTCTGCCCATCTGCGGCTAGAAAATTCAACATGTGGTGTGAATATGTGTCGATGCGCACATGTATCGATGTCGGTAGCCAGAACACACATGCGCAGACGAGAAGCAGCAGCTCGAAAGCAGGACACACGCTTGGGCTTTCTCACATGCACCCGAGCCGTATTGCCCTGACTCTTGAAATTTCGACCCTGGTACTCAAAACACCGCCGATCCCTTGCATCTGGTTGATTGTTTTTTCATGTTCGTGGCGAACTCGGCGGTGACGCCTGAGCTGATTCGGACTCACAGTGTGAAAGCATGAGCTATGCAAGGCCAATCTCTGCCAACAACAGATGGTTGCAACTGTGACAGACATTATGCTTCCGTCCCTTGCAGGAGTCTTGCAGGTTTTTTACCGGCATTCGCAGAGCTGTCCTTCAAGCTTTCCGCGGTCCGGCGGCATTGCGCATGCTCGCGAGTGCTTATGGGGACAGCACGCAGATGCACTGGTTGCATGCGTCGGGCGCACAGGAGTTTTCCAGCAACAGCCTGTATTGGAGTGGTCACAAGCAGCGGAAGCAGATAAGTGTCAATGTTTGGCGTTGGGAGGAGTGTAGGCAGCAAAGGCTCCACATGCCAACCGGCCCCCTAAAACACCCACAACGTTCATGAACCTTCCCGAGGGGTTAAATATATGCTGAGCATTCCAGAGATGCAAACTAACTGTCGCCCCTAAGTGCTCCTGATACACAAGTTGTGTTACATCAACCTTTTCAGCTTTGTGTGTGTGTAGCTATAATATGCCTGCGTTCCTCGATAAGGTACCGGTACTGTACAAAGCGAAGCTTTGAGATCAGAGGACGCATAAAAACACAGGCATGGGCATGTTTGCTACCATGTGGCTAGTTGGTGTCATCTCATACTGAGGCCGTCTAGAGCCCGAGCCCAAACTCTGAACCTCAAAGCCAAAACCTAATAATTATTATCCCCTCCCCTCGCCCTAAAGTTCTCAAGCGGTACATCCCAAACCATAACCCGACCCTGTACAGTAGGTCCCGGCCTTCACCACAAGCCGAGGCATTGCATGGAGTTCTGGGCCGGCTTGAGACGCAGGAGCCGCGCAGACCCGCTGACGCTGGCGGAAGGCCGACATTAGCTTCTGGACTAGGGTTTTGGGTTTAGGGTTTTAGGGCTTCTGGACTTGGGACCAGTAGGGCACTAAGGCTTCAGAGTTTCTGCCTTTGTGGGGCACTTTTCTAGGTTGCTCGAGGTGCAGTGGGCAAGTCGGTGGGCCTGAGATCCAACAAGGCTCGGGTCTGCCCAACATGCGGCCAGCTGAAGCCATGTGCAGGTAAAACAGCCTACCCTCTTGCTGGCACGATCTGTGTGCTTATCATCAATGCCTCCACTCAGAAGCCTCATAGCAGTGCTGCCTGCATGATCAACATTCTACTTGCCATCTTTCTACAAGCTAGAAAATCTCTCAGAAGAGGTCCCTTACGACATCTTACGACATTGCACAGCATGTCCCAGAGCAGCCTTAGCGAGTGGAGCCCGCAGGTGCACATGAAGACTCTCAGCCTTCCGTGTATAGCATGGCCATATGACGGCATTGGGAGTGCGTATATAGGTGTGTGTATGTATGCATGCATGTATGTGTATGTATACATATATATATATATAGACATTACACATACAATGTATACATTGTGTAGTATTCCTGCATCGCAGACCTGTCATCCAAAGCCGAAGAACTTCCTGACAAGTTCCCCGAGTAATTGCTAGGCATCACAGCAGTAGCAGTAGACAAGGCTCGATTTTGGCAGCATACTGCGTACAGAGAAGAACGCCAAGACCGTTTGGACAGATGACTACAGCTGATGATAGCAGTATCCCCGTAATCTTCCTGGAAAAAGTCCGAATTTACTGTTTCAGAACGAGGACATGAGAAGGGTGACAAAAATCATGGAATGTCACTGCAGTAAAAATCAAAGCAAGCCACGACGGTAACCATTGCAAGAAGACTGTCTCATGACGGCAGCAAAAAGTACCACAGTAGTGCGCAATGACCGTAGCAAGACTGGGCATGAAAGCAAAAGCAGAGCGAAGTGCGATGGTCATGTTGAAGCAGTTGTCGCTAGTACTGCAACGACGACGAGGAAGACGACGACCGACAGAAACGACGACAACTGCTTCCTGCTGCTGCTGCTCTGCTACTGACGACGACGACTACTACTACGACCACCACTACCAGTACTACCGCTACTGCCACGACTACCACTACTACCACTACTACCAGTACTACTAGTGCTACTAGAGAAGAAGAGTAAACATGCAACAGTAATGGTATGCTGCGTCGTCATTGTGAAGGAATCAGGTTTCCCGACAATAAGTGTAAACTCTTCGCATCGTCCGCCTCGGCCCGGTCGCAGCTGCAGGGCCCAAGAAGACGACGAGGAATGATGGGGAGGGCTCAAAAGGGTTTTTTGAGCAAATGGTGGGTCCCCTCGGTCAACTTCTTTCGGGGCAGCTTGGCAGGAGGGAATCAGGAAAGAGGGAAGCTCTGACCGCTTCGGCCGGGGCAGAGGCGAATAATAAACAAAGAGTAACCCCCAGGACAGGACAGCAACACTTGCAGCTGCAAGAATGATAGCGGGAACATCAAAACAAGTCCACCTCCCACCACTAGCAACGACAACAGAAGCTGGAACAGGAACTGCCGCAGCAACAGCAGCAACAACAATAACAAAGTGGGTGGAAAAGGTAGGCGGGGAGTTGCCGCCATGGAGGGATGTCAGTCATTTTGTGACATTACGCAGAAGCCCTTGCCCTTGTTTATTGCGTTCTTGGTGGTAAGTGCAACAGGATGTCCGAAGTGTTTTGAGATGAATGTTGGGAAGCTATACGCATGTGGAGAAAGTGGGAAGGCTTAGACAACACGGTGTGTAAGTGAAGACGGAGAAAATCAGAAAGTGTCTACACTGTAAATACCGATGGACGAAGGTCGTGTCAAGCCTGCGACGAGAAAACAACTCGAGTTTTGGCACTCCGTCGGACCGAAATCGGCACATCTCTGCAGCTGCGGCATATCAAGACAGCAAACCCCGGAATACTGAATGAAAGAAGCAACATACTGGCTTGTATCTGCAGCAGGCCAGCAGGGACAAGACCTGCGACATTTGGTGCACACTAAGCTCCTGGACATGCACCTTTGGCTGCAGTGGAGAGAGTTTCTAATATAGGGGCCTCAATAATTACCTATATTTTTTTTTGGCGGGGTTCCTTATTGCAACTAAAATTTTATTACCAAGGACCCCAAAACCCTATTCTAAGTATTGAAGCCCCTATGTTACTTGGGCAGGCTTATGCCCGTTGTCCACTGACCTTTGGGAGGCACCGTGCGGATTTCAGCGCTCGAAATATTTCAGAGGACACCGCCGTACCATGAACGAGACTTTAGCCGTTCACACACTTGTGTAGCGACTTGCACATGCTGAGACTGTAATTTCCGTTTGTGCTCGGTGGATCAGGTCCTTCAACATGTGGCTTGCTGTTTTCATTCCGGACCCGGCTTGCACAAGCAGGAAGAGATCGAGCAAATTGCCCAGCCGATTGATCTTGCCTACTCTGCGCCTCTCTTGCAACTGTACAAGTTCTTTGGAATTCCAGTTCGGAGCCGTTGCCAAGTGGTGAGAGCAGATCGTGGAACAGCTCGGAGATTGCATCAGGCTGTGCAGCTACGGAGAGATGTTAGGAAGCGAACGCCGAATGGTCATCACCGACTAAACCTCCTAAACTCATGCAAGATTCAGGTGTGGTATCACGAAGGCACACTTCCTGCAGGCGGGAGCCGGGGTTCCCTTCTGAGTCTGCGGAGTTACAAACACAAATGACAAACCAGTGCATGTCAGCACTGTTGCCGTCGCTAGTCAGGCCAGTATTTGTGTTGATTGATTTGTTATTACTCTTTGAGAAGCATGTCCGTTGTCTTGCTTCAGTGCTCAGGAGCAGAAGGGTTGCCGGTTAGCAATAGCAATGCTAGGTCCGAGTTTCATTAGCACCAGTGGCATTTCTCGTTCACATCGCCACTGTCAATATTGTCGCATTGGACTGTGCATAGTGTTGCAGTGCAAGTCACGGTGACGAAGGTGTCACGATGCGGCGGCGATGACGAAGATGAGGATAAAGAATAAGATGATGATGATAACATGAAAGTCATTCGGTTCATCGATGTGTAAGTAGCATGGTTGTGTGAGGAAGAGAAGGACAACTAGGAATATTGCGACGAGTACTGCTACTGCTGTTGATGCTGTTGCTACTACTACTACTACTTAAGTAGTAGTACTACTACTACTACTACTACTACTACTACTACTACTACTACTACTATTACGACTACTACGACTACTACGACTACGACGACGACTACCACTACTGCTACTGTTCTTCCTCCTCCTACTGCTACTGCTACTGCTACCGCTACTACTGCTGCTGCTGCTGCTACTACCACCACCAGCACCACGACGGCGACTACTACTACTCTACTACTACTACTACTACTACCACCACCACGACTGCTACTACTACTACTACTACTACTACTACTATTACCACTACTACTGCTACCAATAGCAGCAGTAGTAGTTGTAGTAGCAGCAGCGGTCGTAGTAGCAGTAGATGTAGCAGAGCAGCGGCAGCACCAGCAGCAGTAGTAGCAGCAGTAGCACTGGTAGCAATTGCAGTAGCAGTAGCAGTAGCAGTGGTCGTAGTAGTCGTCGTCGTAGTAGCAGGAGTAGCACAGGAAGCAGGAGTAGGAGTAGGAGGCGAAGCATGTGGTGCCATTAATGTTCTGCACGTTTCTGTAGCTGCATATTATGGCTATTTGTTCTACAGTGTTGCAATGATCGTGAATGTTGTGCAGGGATCCTTCAAGGTTGAGGTTTAGTTGGGTTTTTTCTGCAGTGATTCGACGATGGCGAGAACTTTGAGCATGATGGATTTTGCAGTAGTCACCTTCCAAGGTGAAGTTTTTGCAAAACTGCAGCGCCAAGACACCGTTTCGATGTATACTTCCGACTGTGATTGGGCATCCGCCTCTAGGCACTTAGCAGTAGATAGGAGTCTTGACTCCTTTCCAAGGTGCTGCAGCGCTCCCGAAGGGAGCGCGGCAAGCCTTCCCTTCCGTGCCGATAAGTAAATTTCTGTTTGCCCTGCCATGGTGGAGCTTGCGGGAGTGGATGCGGTGTGCATCATCTTTCTCCAAGGGATCACTGCGGTATCGTTGTGTGCGGTTGTCGTGCAATCTGTGTGCAAAGGTCAACTTCCCAACATGGTCGTTCAGATGCAGTATGGCTTCTGCAGCCTTCGAGACCACTGGGCTCAGGTTGCCAAGCCCAAGCCCGGCAACGCACGTGTGCAGGCGAAGTTTGTGGCCACTTTGTGCAGTCTTCTGACCAACATCGCCAGGATTTCAGCGGTCGCTCTTTTTCTGCGACTACTGGCTATTCAGGGCCCGCTGATGAGAAATCAGCCTCATCAGCTGCAGCCTTCGCTGGACATCTCAAACCTCATCTCATATCCAATCATGTTCTTTCTGGCCGTGTTCCACGACAAGGTCATCTCCGGCAGAACATTGGATGTTTGGTATGTCCTGCTGCAAGCGCTTTGTGTGGTTCCTTTGCTCTCCACTACGCCACAGGATGTTACTAGCGTCTCCCTCGTAACTTTGCTTTCTCGCGTCACGTTGGGTTTGTGCCCGACGCGTGGGTGGCTTCCAATTGTTGGGAACGTGATTCACTGGATCTTAGCTGTGAAACAGGTGGAGTTCCGATTGCAAAGCGATGTCTTTCTCGCACAGTCAGCCGAACTTGTTCTACTATTCTCCGGCGTGTTCCCCCTCAGGCACGCATTGTATGAAAATATCAGGATGAGTTTTGAGTTGAACACACGTACCATTGATCTCTCAGCGGTGTCGGGACTGCTTCTCGGATACTGTGACGCGGTGGTCGAAGTTGATAGCAGCTTGAAACTCACAGACGACTCTCGGCAGTTGTCCACGTTGCTTCTGCACGGGCATGGCATCTCTGCTGGAAGTTTGGCCGGCTACGACTTCCTCAGCTTTTTCCATGTGGACGACCGGGAACACATCAGGGTTTCATTGGGTGCGAAAAACCAGAGCACACAAGCTTTGGCTCTCAACGCTCGGATGCAGGATTGCTTGGGCAACTTCGTGAAAGTTGAGATCTTGTTTACGTCCTTCCAGAATGCTGATGGCGAAGAGTGTCGCTTGGTAGGAATGCGTGAATTCCAGGATTTCAGCTCTGTTGCTGTGCCGCTTCCTGCAGGTCCTGCACCTTGGATATTGTTTAGTAGGCTGTCCTGGTCCCGGTTGAGTGCCCTTGCTGGGCGCCAGCCCCAATAAATAACGTTTTACAACGGCATGTTTTGGTTCTTCAATGATGAAGCCTGGAGAGCCAAGGCACTCTCACCAGCAGAGGCAAGTCCATCGCAGGAGCTTCTGTCGTTGCATAGAGGCATGCCATGATATGTCATGTGTCTCGGCTCTTTAGCAGAGTTTATAGTGACGGACAGAGGATCTTTGTTCCGTTGCCTTTGATGCCACGTCCTTCGACATCCTCTCTGTGTCCGCAGCCTTCAAGAAGCTTTGCTCCTCAGTGTGTTATGGATCCCGAGTTTGAGAGCTGGGATAAGCAAGACTGTTTCCGAAACGGCATCTGTCTACATAAGTTGCACGTGCATGCGTGGTCGTCGGTCGACAGAGATTGTCAAGCTTTGTAGCTGAGCAAAGTTATGACTCAGCGTAAATTTGCATGGTTGCTGAGCATTACTTGACAACGCTTTTGGTGCGAGCGCCCGCGCTTCGTGCCTTGATCGCCCAGCCAGACGAAGAGCACGGAGTAGTAGCTCTTCATTGCATGCAGCTAGTCAAATCCTTGTGTTCTGGATCGTAGCCGTGCCAGCAGTGGCGGCAGTAACGCAGACGCAGGACAAGTGAAAGGAGGAGTGCAAGCGCGACGACAAGAGAATGTTCGCACGGAGAGCTTAAACTCATTGTGCGCAAAGCATTTGTAGTTTTGTACTCCTCCTCCTTCCCCCTTCTCTTTAAACGACACCAGCATTTTGACGATGCCAACTACTACTTACTGCACAGCTGCTACAGTCATCCCCCTGCGACTTACTGACTACCATCCCCAAAGACTGCTGTTACAGCAACAGCAACAACAACAACAACAGCAGCAGCAGCAGCAGCAGCAGTAGCAGCACACGACAACTACTACTAATACTGCTACTACTACTACTACTACTACTATTACTACTACTACTACTACTACTACTACTACTACTACTATTACTACTACTAATATTGGTACTACTACTACTATTACGACGACGACTACTATTAAGA